CCGTACGTGGAGCTTTTTTTTTTTTGTCTGTTGTGACAAGATGACTTGTTTTAGAGCTTGCATATGAAGCAATATGCCTATGCTATTTATTTGCAACATACTAATAAATGTGCAGTGACTTGATGCAGATGTGGAAACGGTGCAGGAGTTGCAGCATGGATTCCCTTACTGTAATTACACAAATCGCATCTGAAATACACTGAAGTGTAAAGCAATCAGATCAATAGTTTGATAAAGGATTAATCAAATGTCTTCTAGTTGTGGTATTTTTTTATTTTTGTAAAGCTGTAATTAAGCAATTTAATCAGATTCCATCCTAAATTGAATAAAATCAACAGCATTAAATAGTTATTTTCTCAATTTCCAACATTTTAAAATTTTTCTCAAAACCAGATTTCCTTTGTCAATCCCAGAAATCTTAATAGGTTTGCACTAATCACCTAAAAAAACAACGAGAATCTCTCTCTCTCTCTTAGAAGTGGGATTATTATTGTTTGCACTAAATTGCGACATTGTGCTGTACTGTAATTTTACAGATGGTAATTTACAGCTTGTTAATTAAAACGTGCTGTCAATCTTTAATTCGTCTGTATTTATAGAGCTTTTTTTCCCCATGTACCATAAAGAAAAGACAAAGTGCTTTACATAAGCTATGCCAGGAGGCAATGACAACTAAATTATGAGAATATATATATATATATATATATATATATATATATATATATGTAAAAGCAAGTAACCTTTTAATATATGCAAAAATAATGGATCTATAAAACTGCTTAGTGTGTGGTTGATGGCTGTGGGAATGTGAAAATGTATGTTGAATTTATGCCTAAATATTTCACTGATCTCTGATCAGTGGCTCCTACTGCTGTTGCTGTTCTGTGTAGCACAGAGGCACCTTAATAGAGACATATCGAGGCATGGGAGTAATGTCTAAAAGCTGCGACTTTCCATTCTCATATAATTTATTAGTGAGAATCTCACAGCAAGGTCAACTGTGCAAGATTGGTTATAACTTTTACTAAAACTGTCCTTGATCAATACAAAGACCTTGGAATGTAATTCTTTTGTCAGTTGTTATTGCAAGGTTTAAAATTAACTTTGATGTTTGATTTTGGAGGTATAGGACTTTGCAGAGTTTTGGAGATATACACCAATGTAACATACTGTCTCAGTGCAATGAAATCCAGTTTTTACCCAGTTTGGTAGAAGTAGGAGCCATTTTGACTGTTTTTCCAACACGTTGGGTCATGCCAAAGCAAAGTTATGTAGATGAAGTACAAAGCACATTGCAGAAGCAATCATAATCAGGAATCTCAATCACTTTATAGCCATAAAACTATGTATTTTATTGGGATTGCAAGTGATGAACCAAGAAAAAGTGGCTTGTAATTGTGAGATGGGGGAATAGTGGTTTATTTTTAGATATTTTTTTTTTTTTTTTTTTTTTTTTTTACAAATAGATTCTAAAAGTGTTCAACCAGTCAGTACTTTATTATAGTATTACTCATTTACATGTTTCTAACAAAGAAATGTTCCTGACCAGACATTGCCTGTAACAGAAACAGAAATTTGAAGTTAACAAAAAATAAATTATTGAATTCTTGTATTGAAAATCAAGTGTTGTTCCAAGACTCTATTAAACAGGTGACCAATGAGGTCATTTGGTTGCACTAGATTTTATTTGGGTGTATTGGAGAAAATGTATTTATTTATTTATTTCCATAAAAAATGTTTGGAAGGTCGTTAGACAAAGATTTAAGTTTGCTACTACTATTTGAAGTCATATTGTAAAAAAAAAAAAAAAAAAAGTCTATGTGAATGAGGGCTGGAAGTCGTTCCTTCAATCTGATGTTTTTATGCAGATATCTACCTCATCTAGAAGCCATCGGTTTATTTAGTTGTCGTTTAACATGAGTTAACTTTCCGCGTGTCGTACATGAGCAATACATTGTTATGTACGTCTTGCTGCAGCTTCCCATGCCACCCAGACACAACAAGCATGCTGCAAGGCACTAGAACTTCATTGTTTCTTGAGAGAAATGCCTCAGGCTAGTGTTTAAGAGCTGCGTGGGGTGGGAGCATGTCGACTTAAATACCTTCAGTGGAGACATGTCATGGCCTCTTTTATCAGCTACTAGCTGAACTATAAAGCTCAGCCCTGTGTATTACTATAAAGTCAAAACTGGCATTTTAAAAAAAAAACAAACAAAAAAAACGTTTTATTCTTATCCTTCTGATGGGGGATTATGCTTGAATTTTAAATGCCTCACACCAGCTTAAATTTTAAAAAGCTCACCTTTTTAAAAACTGAATAAGAGTCACACCAGTCATACTGGTGAAAGGAGCCACCGCCTTTTCTCGACCGTCGAGCTGAACTCTCGCGGGTTAACAACTTGAAAAGTAAGATCTTTTAGAAAATACAGGTAAAGAATACAAAAAAGGAAATGTTCATTATGATTTAGAACACTAAACGTTTTTAGTTCAGATGGTGTTTTGAAGAAATAAAATAAAAATCACTGTTTACATTTTATGTTACTTTTATAACTAGAAAGTATCAAATAGAAGAGTCGTATTTATTGTGGTACAATTTTTGCAACATTTTAAAACTTAATATATATCTGTTGGACAAGTATGACTATTACGAGTATCATAATAATGCAAAATTACACAAATCAGTTATTATATTGCAGGAATAAAGTAATATAACTGATTACTGCAGTTTTGTTCTTGGCATTAATTCCATGTCATTTTGTTTGATGTAAGCCTACCTGTTTAAAATTGGTCACCCTTTTTGTGAGATATTTGTGGGGGAAAAAAAAAAAAATCTACATCAGCCACTCAGAAAAAGAAAAGCTAACAGCTGACATGCTGGGCCATTTTACAAAATTTAATATTCATTTTTATAACAGTGGTAAAAGGCTTAAGAAAATTATTTAGCGAAAATCTGCTGAATTTAGAGTCACTTGTTTAAAGGTAGAACGTTTTGTACTTCTGCAGTTTACAGGGCAACATAGAAATAAATGAATAAGGAAAAGACACTGGAGGTTTTTAGCTTTAAAAGCATGAACGTATTTTCCTGTCATATGTAGCCAAACAGCCTCATTGTGGAAGCAGAATAGTTATTATTTAAAGCTCTCTGCGAGTTTCCCCAACATATTTAAAAAAAAAAGAAATTAGGATGTTTTATTTGTTGCTGAAAACATAGATCGATGAAGAAGGGGTAAGTTAACAGCAAATAAATGGATTTTTGAAATTTACTATTCCAGCTAAGCATATCACCTAACTCAACTTTAGTTTTAACATGATTAAAAAAATATTAACAAAAAGCTCAAGTCAGACTGGCATTCACTAACATCTTACTAAATGTACTTTAAACTAATTTTATTATAGAACATTTTGAAAATGTAACTTTTTTAAGCGTGGGTATGCCTTGATACAGACAATTTACTCATACCCAGTAAGAAGATATCAAATTAAGAGAAGAGAGAAGGCATGTCCTGAAACACATCCTCAACAAGGTGGATGTGTAACGTTGTTGCAGATAAAGTTGATGAGATGGATTCAAAGTGTTTGTGGCATTGCATCAGGTTGACAGATGACATTGTGATTGGTAGCTACAGTATGGAGCACAAGTAAGCGACCTTGGAAAGTCGGAGGTATCCTGCGGCTTGATGAGGAATGAACGTCTGAAAACCGAATGCAGACCGTCTGTGCTGGACTGAGAAGCTGTTGAGATTTTGCATTGAAAGCGACAAAACCTGACAGGTTTAAAACCTAGAGTAAATTGTTTTGGAGGTAAAATTGTGGAGGCACGGCTTAGATAGTTTAGGCATTTGCGTAGGAGGAACAATGGATCCTTAACAAGGCAATTTAACGTGTTCGTGTGACAGACGAAATTGTTAGAGACGGTGAGATGATAGACTGTGGGCCACCAATTGACTTTGGCCATTTATTTGATTGTCACATCATTTTAAGAATCACAGCACACTGTAGTTTATTCCAGGACATGATGTTTATTTTACAACTAAGGATAAAAGGATGCCATTTAGAATAACTGGTCATGACAAAAAAACCTGGGAGTTTTGAGAGCAAATTTCTTTTTTCAAGCTTATGTACAGTCATGGACATCACATCAGATGCCGTTAACTTCATTTTATATAAACCACGTTGAGCGACCAACAATTCACTGAAAAAAATGGACATTTTTGGTCCAACAATATTCCGTAGCTTTACACCCACACCCCTGAACTGGTCTAGAAAATAACACTGTAAAAATGCACAGAGTACAAATAATACTGAACTTGTAAGTAGCAAGATATGCCAACATACATTTTTTTTTTTTGATTATTTACACATTAAATTTTCAACTTCGTTAACTTTACAAGCTTAGCTCCTTCATGATAAATTGGCGGACTACTTAGTAAGTACTGTACATGTTAAAAAGAGAACATTAAAATATTTTTTTAATTGAGGAAAAACAGGCATTTGTAATATATCTGTGGTATAATGGCAAACAATAATACAGTGTGATTAAGGGCCTTAAAAACCAAACTTGATCTTTTTTTTTTTTTTATTTTCCATCAAATTTTTCTTCATTGGTTCACACTCACTGAAAGTGCAGAAACATTTTAGAATACCATCCAACTTTAGACAAGTATCTTTTTCCCCAAACTTTGTTCAACAGGGACATCAGTCAAGTCATTCTGAATAAGATGCAACCAGACTTACTGTACCCAATGCTTTACATGAAAACATGCACAGCTTCATAAATAATATGCAAGTAATGGTGAAATATATTCATTCAAAAACAATTCTTCAGAAACAGTGATGAACACAAGAGCATGGGTCAGTTTCAAAACAACAGACGGCTGTGAAAGGCTCAGATAAAATGCAGTGCATTGATGAAGCAACAATCACTCAATGACTGTATAGTGCCATGTTTGTTGCACCAATCTGTAGAGTCGTGTCAGTGAAAATAGAACCTTTACAATCTGTTTTTTTTTTTTTTGAGCTGCTTCACTGAAAGCGCTATTAATTCAAAACATACCAAATGATTAGAACTAGAATATGAGGTATGAAACCTCATGTTTGTGTTAAGAGTTGTGGCACTATCTGTGTTGACAGATCGAGACTTGGGAGATTTAGTGCAACAGAAATCTGTCAAATTATCACTGATTTCACTGTTTATCTAACTTTTCAAGTTCTTTCACAAAGATGAGATGGTCCTCCGGCGACTTTCCGTGCGTTTTACAAAGGTGCAATTTGATTGCATGTTTACTCACAAATGTCCGGTTGCACAGTTTACACTGATATGCTGAGCCAGAGTCATCTTCAGTAAGTCCAGAGGACGTAAACGTCTTGTCCTCAATTCTGCTCACTGCCTGCTGCTCAAGTAAGTCTACGGAAAGCTTGGAGAGATCCTTTAGGGTGAATCCCAGGTGGGATTCCAAATGGTTAATGTAGGACGAGGGAGTCCTGAACTGGGAAGCACAGTCACTACACAAAAACAGAGGTTGGCCGGAATCAATGTTTTTGAGGAATTTTGTTCCGCCTGTCCTCTTTAACTGGTATTTTACATTGGCCAGCCAATGTGAGATAGTGGTCATGGAAAGACCAGTGAATTTACAGATGTGGACTCTCTCTTGGGGTCCCAAGTCACTAATTATGAACTTTCCCTCAGGTGTCTCTCGAAGACTAGAAGCAAACTGAGCCTGAAGAATCAGGAGGTGCTGGGGATTCCAGTTCGACTGTCGGCCTTTCCTTCTTTGGATAGGAGACAGCTCCTCCATGCTGTCGTCAAAAGTAAAGCCATCCATGTCGGATTTCTCCGAGACGGAGGACGGCGTAGTAGACTTTGGTGTCAAACGGCCTGTGAGATTTTTAACCATGTCTGAAATATCCATCAAAGCATTTTCTCGAAGAGGCGGAGATGATGATGATGACGATGAGAAATTTCTAAAAGCTGCTTTGACACTATTTGTGTTACTATTGTTTGGTGTTGTAGGACTAGCTTTAGCTGAACTGATATTGCTGCTGCTTTTGGATTTTGTCAAGTCAATGGGCTGATCATATTCATCGTTACGATGTTGACTCGCCGGCTCTGCTTGCTTACTCTGGGCGTAACTGCTCATCTTATAAAGCATTGCGAATGGGTCCACAGAGGGTCTGGGAACTTTTGTAGCTTTCCCCAAGTGGTTGTTCATGACAGACTGCAAAGCACTGAGAGGGCTGATGAGAGGTTGCTCAGACAAGTGATCGGTGATAATGCTGAGGCTACTGCAGCCATTGCTACCTGTTTTTTGTGGTGAGTCATGCCCAGCTTTGATCTTTACTTCTGTTTTGGGCTCAGGTAGCTCTTCTTTACCTTTTAGATCAATAGGGATTTCAACTGTAGAGCTTTGCATTACTTTTGACAGAGCTTCTGCACTGGCCTTGGGATTTTGCAGTGGTGACTTTGCAGACATGCACTTACTCTCACACGGTTTGTCTTCTTTTCCGTCATTGGTGGAACCACTCCTTGTCACTTTTTCCACCAGCTCCTCCATAGCCAACACATTGCTTTTGTGGCTAAGAGGTGGAGAGGGGCTATTTGGTGAATGGATCAGAGAACCCATGTCGGAGGACATTACCTTCAAACTGGAACTACTGAACAGAGGTTGAACTGATGCACAAGAGGGCAAATTAGACTTCAGGGATCCATGGAGCTGATAAGCAGCGTGAATGCTGGGGTATCCGCCCCATGTTGGTGCTCCAGTTTGGGCCTTGCTGATTGCACTTGAGACTGTATTTTCCAAAGACTTTAATATGTCTAAGCCACCCTTAGGTGTTTCCTCCAAGTCCTCTTCTGTAAGATACTGATAAGATCGGGTCTTTACAGGCTTCTCAGTAGGGTCTTCTTTTTCCTCTTTAATTTTTTTCTCAGGTTCTCTCACTTCAAACTTCTCTTCCTCTGTCTCGTCATCTCTCTTTTCTTCACTTCTGTCTTCCGGGCTGCAGGGCTGCAACGGGGAGTCCGGCTGTGGCTTACCGTTGGGTGCCGGGAGACGTTTCGTGGTAGGAGGCAAAGGAATTGACTGAATTTTCTCCTCGATAACAGGATCCAAAACTAACTGCTTGCCTTTTTTAGAGGCTGAATTTGTAACTTTCAGAAAGTGTCCTGTGACCATCATGTGGGCTGTCAACTGTTGTAGTGTGTCGTGGGAGCTTCCACATTCCATGCATTTGAGAATTTGTGCCTTTCGTGCCTCAAACTGCCAGGTATAACTGGCACCATTTTGGTAGCCATATCGATTGTTAGGAGTGACGTAGGGATTAGCTGCTTTTTGGTCTTTTGGAGAGTCTCCTAGGAATATACCCGAAGACACAGACTCTGGTGAGCTTGGAGACATCAGGTCCTGAAATGCTCTTTTTTTGGTCGGGGGCACCAGTTTCGAGGTAAGGGCTGGCATTGGTTCTTTTAGAGGCACTTTCTGATAGTGTTTTGTTTTTATCATGTGAACACTAAGATCTTGCAAGGATTCAAAAGAGTGGCCACAGTACATGCATTTAAGAACTTTCTGGGCATCTTCTTTGCCTTCCATCTCCAACAAAGAACGCTTGCGCGGCTTGGACCACTTCTTGCTCCGATCATCCTCTGGATCCTTGTTGTCATCGCGGTAGTGGCCGGTCTCGTTCATGTGCACAGTCAGACCAACTAAGGTGTCATAGGCGGCACTACAGTCCTTACACCGAAATTTGCTGGCTCCAGTAAAAACCGGCCCATACAGTTTGTTGTTCTGCCTGTAAAGCTGCACGGTGCTGAAGAGGCTTGGCTCAGGGAGAAGTTGGTACGGATTTTGCTGAAGAGTTTTAGCCAAAGCTGCCTGATGCCAGTCGTATGCTAATCCTCCAGTGCTTGCAGAGCTGATGCCAGTGTTGCTGTTGCTCGATACTGTTTTTGCGGTTGTGCTGCTGCTGTTTAAGTGAGTGGTGACTGGGGTGTCGCTACATCTGCTCTTCGCATGGCTGTTGCTAGAACTGTGACTATTCAGGAACCCATTGCTGCCTTTGTAGCTGCTACCACTCCCATTGCTAGCTGCCAAATTGTTCCCTTGTTTACTTTTAAGCATGTCCAGGGCAATACTGGACCAGGAGGCATCTGAAATCAAGTTTGCATAGACGGCTTTCATTTTTGTCAGACTGTCCTGGAGAGAGAGGCCATTTATCGACTCAGTACCTTCACCAAGCTTTTCCTCTAGCTTTTCCTGATCGCTGGAGGAGGAAGCAGTGGTCTTAAGGTCCACCAGTTGGTCACTGGTGGTACTGAGTGGCGAAGCATATCCAGCATCTTGGTTAGTGCCATTGCTAAGTGGAGAGTTCTGGCAGCTATAATGCTCTCTCGGCTCCTCGTCGTCATTAAAGAGAAACTCTGCATCTTGACCATCGAGGGAAAGGCCATCGTCCAGGAGGTGCTCTTCTTCATCAGTTTTCCCTGTTTTAAACTCATCCTCTGGTCCATAAGCTGCAAGACAAATAAGAGGGAAGAAGGATATTAGATGCTAATATTTTTGACAAGAACACCCTGAGTGGGTGGTGGAGGCAATAATCCTAAAATCGAAAAAGGTTTGTGATAATAAAGTGGCAAACATCCACAACTTGACAATGACCTTTAACCCTCTTCACTCCTCTCTATAACTAAAACATTATGAACAAAATATTTTTTTTAAATTATGTTTTAGTTATTAAATTTGTCTGAGTAAAGGAGTGCAATAACATTCTTCTGTTTATTCAAAAAAGCAAATAACATAATTGTTCTACTTTAAAGAAAATTTGTCATTGACTCATGAGGGTTTTTTACTGTGGATTTTAAGCAGGCATATTGCTTTATTTTTAATATATGAAACCTTGATTATACAATCGCACAAGGAATGAAAACGGTAAAACAACATATCGCTGGGCGGTCTATATGTTTTCTGTTCATAGTATGTTCTTGACTTCCCTTTATTTGCTGAAATTTCTTCATGCTATGTATTAACAAGTTAGGAATAGTGGAACAAAATGCCAGCAGTATCAGTCTTGCCAAGCCACGCTTGGCTGGAGTCGACTTGGCATCAGCTGTGGAAGTCCTCCCAGCGTGATGTTAGGAAACGGCCAGTGGACATGAGAAGACATGTTGTTACTGCCTCTGCTCCCTGTGTGCTCAGACTGCCAAGTTATATCATTTTATGAAAGCAAATGCCTATACATTTTACAAATATAGCTGTGTTAAAATATGTTTGTGATGACCTAGGTTACATTTTTTTTTTCTTCTACCAAATGAAGGATGATGCTCGCAGTGAAGCTCAATCCACAGATGGCAAAACGAAGAGGGTTACAAATGCCAAGGTTTCTTTACCCATCCCTGATTAGATGCTTGTCTAAAGTGCCAGAATCAGTCTCAAGTGAGGTGACGGATATGTTGTCACCTTCAGACTGCTTGTAGCTCTCTATCCTATGATCAGAATGGACATAATGCCTGATGTTTGCTAGGTGCTCTAACTTCTGTGAAATAAGCTTTAGGTCTTACACCTGGCTGTGTGTGTGTGTAAGGGAAAAAAGAACATCAATACCACTTTCTTCTTCAAAATTACAGTGTATGTCTGCTATGATAATTGCTGCTATGTCTGAACAGTGATGGCTACACCTGGTGTATGCCTGTGTGTCTTCAGAAGAGTCCTTCAACAGGAACGGCAAATGTTGGCAAATGTCATATTTCATCGTTTCTCTATTTTTGTAATTTTATGATCTCACTAAACTGGAAGAGCAAATGTACTTTTACAAACACATAGTTAAATGTAAACACAAAGGCAATAATTATTTTTAAAATGCTACAAACACTTTCAAAAGATCTTGAGTTCACAATAATCTAGAGAAATTTATCGCACAAAGGTATACTGTATCGTTATAGGGCTTCTGTTTTGGTGGTGTTGAATCTCTAGGCTACGTTTGACATATTTATTTATTGTTTAAAGGTTTTGTTTGCTCTTGTGGCCTTTATTTGAAAGTAGTTCGACAGGAAACAGGGTAATCAGAGAGGGGGGTGACATGCGGCAAATGTCGCCAGGCCGGGAATTGAATGTGCGACCGCCGCCACGAGGACCAAGGCCTCAATATGTGGGTCGTGCTTTGCCCCCGTGCCACCACAGCACCCATGTTTGACATACTGATTGATCAACTTGAAAATGGGTTGGTGTTATACAGTAGTAAATTAGTTGGATCTCATCTGGCAAATACCAAACACTGTGCTAAATTTGGCCATTACATGTTGGAACAAACAGAGATGACAAGGTGGATTCCTATAGGCTGCATCCTTGGACCACTTTCATTCCATATAACACTTATATGTTCCCCCTTGCTCAGGTTGTAGAGTATAACATTGCTTACATGCACTACTGACACACCTTCACATTAAAAAAACCGTATACATCGTTTTTGATTCCAACAAAGCAAAATTAGACATCGGCGCGTAACTAAACTCAAAGAGGTTCAAAGCCAAAGCAGGCAAGAAACCTGGACGTATTTATGGAGTGAGGATTAATTTTAAAACATTCAATTACTCTGTAACTACTTAAGTTGACTAATATGCTAACCAGAAGGAGGGACTTCCTGCCAAAAGGGACACAGGAAAATGATCTAATGTTTTACTTCAATTATCTTACTTCTTACTTTTACTTCAATCAGCTTACCGAAAATGATGTTGCCAAAGTTATAAACAACACCAGTTCAATGGATCACAGTACAGTCAGTGTTTACAGGCCAAGAACTAAACCTGAGAGGAAACATATTTTAACTTAATGTTGTTTTTAGTGCATTTTACCTATACTCCTCTCTTTACCTCAAAAGCACTTTAAACCACTTCATGTATAAATGTTGCTACTCTCATGTACTTGCATTGCCCCTTTGTTACACATTGTGAGAATTGATTACAAAATATAATCTGTTATTCCGATCTTTTCACATTTTGCTAAGCAGTTGTGACTCTTTGGACTCGCCTCATGCTCCCTCATCAACATGCAACCCGCTGTATTGAAATTGATGCAAAGTCAAAGGGGGAGAGTAAAGACAAAACAGTGGGAGAAACCTGACAGCAGTACAAACACACACACACCCCGACCAGCACACCAACATTAAAGTCTACTTTTTCCCCTGCCATCCTCTGTATGTTACCCTGACAGGCATCAGTGTCAGAGGTATGTAAGTGTCAGCCCAAGGTGTCAGTGTCCACACAAACAAGCCAGAAAAGCGATGGGAGGGAAGGAAGAGGGGGAGAAAGCAACAACAACAAACACAAGTCAGCCATTTTTTTTTCTCCCTTTTCACCCCTGCTCGAGCCTCCTCCTCTTCCTTCACCATCTGTGTCAGAAAAGCTGCGGGTGCCACCGCCGGCTAATAAGGCAATCAGAGATGGAAAAGATGCTGACACGGCGGCTTTCGAGCGTCACTCAGAACAAAAGAGGAAGCAGGGAGAAGGAGGGAGAGCGGGATGGGGAGGGGATTAAAACAGGAGGCTGGAGGGGAAGGACGGGGGGGAGAAAAGTGTCTGTTGTGGTTGTCAGTCAAAAACGTAAGCCCACTTTGTGCTGTCAGGGAGGATAGGCGAAAGAGAAGTTCTGAAAAGAGAGAAAGAAAGATGTGTTTAGGCTTACGAACGTGAGGTGTGTGTGCGTGTGTGTGTGTGTGTGTGTCTGAGTGTATCTGACATAAAGAAATCAAACGGCATCAAGTTTAACTGCTCAAAAGCATAAAGAATCGTAAAATGGTGGCAATAATTACATCTTCTCAATGCAAGTTCAAGTTTCTAAGAGCATGCCACCACAGGTGTGGTCGATCAGTTGTGGGTGCGCGTTGCACGTGTTTGTGTGTATTCTAGGTGTCACAGTGTGTCAGGTGCAAGCAGAGCTGCAATGTGGCTGGTGGGGGGCGAGGGGGAAGAAAGCGAAGCCATCTGTGTCTGGAGAGGAGCCTGTCACTATTGTTGTGCCCAGAGAGTCCAGGATTTCCTGCTGCAGACAGGTGACACCACAGTAGGACAGCTCCTCCCTCTAGCCCCCCCCCCCAGCCACAGTGACATATGCACACATGTACATGCAAACTATCAGGCCTTCTTCCCTAAAACTGCATTCCTCGCCAGAGGAAAAGATCTGTCGGGCCTATTGCTTTTAAAAAAGCATGTAAAAATTTCATCCATGAAAAGTAGAAACAAAATGCTAGACAGAGTGAAGTGAGGACTTATTGAGATCCCAGAGATGTAACGAGGACAGTTTTAATCTCTCCTGTAAAGCAAATTTGCTCTCACCATACCGGGTAAAATAAAAAAAAAATATCCTCAAGCCCTTGATTTAAACTACAGCACTATCCAATATAGTTTTGATCTGTAAAAAAAATAAAAAATAAAAAAAAAATCTGTTAAATTTGACTTATTATATGTTTATTTAGTCAGGACTGCTTTTGTATATGGCGTTATATTGCCTGTTAAAGTGGAACTAGCTACGGTTCTGTTTTCTGTATCAAGGCATCCCAGAGTTTTACCTACATACCATTTCAGAAATGCTGCAGGTTTTTGTCGTCACGGTTCTGCTATTGAAGATCTGTTTAATAAGTTGTTAAAAGAAAGAGTCAGAGAGATATTCTCTAGCTGCTTGGAGAACAGGGACAGAGCGCAGACCTTCGCCCTTGCCCAGAGTTGCCAGTCTGTCGGGTGTAAGAGAGTTACTGCACTTTTCCCTTACATTTTGTTACTTGGAAATATTGCTGAAACAAAGACAGTATTGATGTGGATACTAAACTTTTACTAAAGCAACAGAAATTTAAAATGAGTAGAAAAGATACCAGCACCATGTTTGCTAAAGAAGAAGCAGCAGCAGCTGATTGACAACAAACCCAACAATATCAGCGTGTTGAAGATGCATTACCTTCCAAAGAGCAGGACAGGAAGGGTTAATATGAACTAAAACTTAGTTCTATATTTTATTTAAGATTTGCAGGGGGATGGTATTGACTTTTTTAAGATTTATATTATGCTATAACATCATTCCCTCATCAAACACAAATCCGGAATGTTGCTTTGACTCATTCATGCATGTTTTGAGGAATCCTTGAATCTCCAATGGCAGCCGTTCAGGGTTGCTTCAACGCCCAGTCATGCAATGCGCCACCAACTTACCCAAAGCTCTGTCCTGGAGCTCCGGCTCCCCCAGCCAAGCCCCCACGCCAAAGCCCACCCCTCTCCCACTCAACTCCACCAGACTAGCGGCAGCAGAAAGTAGCAAACACCCGGAGGAACTAATATTTTCTAGCACCAGTATCAACAACTGCTTTTGTGTTTTAAATAAAATTAGATCACAATATCAGTTCTCTTAGTAAATCTTTGCACAGCTGCTGTACTAATACAAGGTTATTATATTGTGGGAGTCCTAAGGCTCATCGCAGGTAGAAAATGTCAATAAAGCAATATAATGACAGGAAAGACAACTTGCACCACAT